CTGGCCTTCATGCCTAAGGCGGGACTAGAACTCAACGTCTCCTGGTGATTGGCCCAAAGTCACCCAGATGCCTTTCATGTTTAAAGTGGAACTAGAACTCACCATCTCCCAGTGGGCCCAAAGTCACCCAGTTGGCTTTCATGGCTAAGGCGGGACTAGAACCCACCATCTCCTGGTGATTGGCCCAAAGTCACCCAGCTGGCTTTTGTGGCTAAGGCGGAACTAGAACTCACTGTCTCCCGGTGATTGGACCAAAGTCACCCAGCTGACTTTCACGGCTAAGGTGGAACCAGAACTAGTTAGGGTTGCCCGGATTTGGCTGGTATCCCAGTTAAAAGCCAGCATGAAGCTGGATCCTTTGGTGATGTCACTTAACACTCTAATTGCTGCCTCGGTGGCCCCCGGTTGCTGACTCTAAGTCTGGTGGGCTTCAGAAATGGCTTGGAAGCTACAGCAGAGGCAAAACGCAACTGCTGGACAGGTGTGTGTCCAGTCTGGCCATTGAGGGAGGCCCAGTGGAGGGTTCCCCTTGTGAGGGATGTGGAGCATGGGCCTTCTCTCCGAAACCCTCCGTTTCTGGGGCCCTTCTTGCATTTTGCAAACAAATTAAAGCAATTTTCACGTTAAGATGTTTTTTGGTCTTTAATTCATCCGATGTCCTTTATTATGTGGCTTTTAATGGTCTGCAAGCGGTATTTATTGCCATTGCTTTGTTCTTCCAATCCAAATTCCCCAGAGTGGGATTGGAGCAAGCTATAAATAGTATCAAGGAAATAATAATAATGAAAACTATGAACAGGTGGTAGCTGGAAAGTGAATAGGGAGATTTCTGCCAATTTTACTTGGTTTTAGAAATGCTTTTGTTCTAACAATACTTGAAGACAAAAATAAAGAAAAAGAAGAAAGGGACTTAAAAGAGAATAAAGATTTGCAAAATATCAAAATGCAGACAGAATTTACAAAATGCAAGTCACACTAGACTGCTTAAGGTATCAGAATAATCAGACAAGAAGTTAGTCCTGGAGACCAAAACATACGAAGAACGGCGGCTGCAGGACTTGGGTTTGGCTAGTCTAAAGAAAAGAAGAAATAGGGGAGACATGATAGCGGCGTTTCAGTATTTGAGGGGCTCCCACAAGGAAGAGGGGGTCCCATTCTCCAAAGCACCAGAGGGAGGGACGAGAAACAATGATTGAAAACTGATCAAAGAGAGAAGCAACCTGGAATTAAGGAGAAAGTTCCTGACAGTGAGGACAGTTAACCAGTGGAACTGCTTGCCACCAGAAATCGTGGGCGCTCCATCGCTGGAAGTTTTTAAGAAGAGACTGGACAGTCACTTTTCTGAAATGGTATAGGTTCTTCTGCTTGAGTAAGGGGCTGGACTAGAAGACCTCCAAGGTCCCTTCCAGCTTCTATTCTATTCTATTCTATTCTATTCTATTCTATTCTATTCTATTCTATTCTATTCTATATTCTATTCTTTAAAAAGTACTATTTCAGAGGTTCACAATCTGTGGTCCCTGAAAACGTGAGGGGGGGAGCAATGTCATCACAGGGGGTCTGTGAAGGCTTGAAGAAATGTTATGATTTAAATCTTGAGTTAAGTCTTGGGGGTCCATGACCACAAAAGTTATTTAAAAGGGGTTGGTGGTCAGGAAGAGGTTGAGAACCACTGCACTATTTAAATCGTATCAGCGGTTGACAAAAAGAGCAAAAATAATATATATGAGAATTTCTAATTAAGCTAGAACTGTTCCTCCTTAATGCTATAGCCAGCCAAACAAAATCTAATGTTATAAAACCTTTTCTGGAACAAAACTCAAGCTTTGGATGTTCCAGATGGCTATGTGCATAATTATAATCCATAAAACAATTTCCAAATTTGGTTATAGTAAATACAGTTTTCAAACTTGGCCATTTCAAAATATACGGACCTTAACTCTCAGAATTGGGAGAAATAAATATGGCTGAAGAATTCTGGGAGTTGAAGTCCACCCATCTTAAAGCACGCAGACTGGGGGATTCTGGGAGTTGAAGTCCACCCCTTTTGAAGCATGCTGGCCAGTGGATTCTGGGAGTTGAAGTCCTCCACTCTTAAAGTATCCCGGCTGGGGGATTCTGGGAGTTGAAGTCCACCCATCTTAAAGCACGTAGGCTGGGGGATTCTGGGAGTTGAAGTCCACCCATCTTAAAGCACACAGGCTGGGGGATTCTGGGAGTTGAAGTCCACTCATTTAAAAGCATCCTGGTTAGAGAACTGTGGGAGTTGCACTCCACTCATCGTAAAGTAACCAAGTTTGAAAAATGCTGAGTATCGGACTAATTTGTTAGTTAGAACATCATTTTTGACATAGACGTACATTCTTAAAGCTTAATCTGCCAGTCCTCTTAATAATTGAAGGGGTTGAATGAAATATCCACTGAGAAGAAGCACAGAGCATCTTAGCTGTGTTCCTCACATACTTGAAGATCAGGGGTGACCAACCTTGGCCACTTTAAGACTTGTGGACTTCAACTCCCAGAATTCCCCAGCTGGCATAGAATTCTGGGAGTTGAAGTCCGCAAGTCTCAAAGAGGCAAATCTAGACAGCGTACTAAAAAGCAGAGACATCCCCCTGCCAACAAAAGTGCGTATAGACAAGGCCATGGTTTCCCCAGTTGCAATGTATAGCTGCAAAAGCTGGACCATAAGAAAGGCTGAGAAAGGCCAAAGGATGGAGGCCTTTGAGCTCTGGTGCTGGAGAAGACTCCTGCGAGTCCCCTGGACTGCAAGGCGATCCAACCAGTCAGTCCTAGAGGAGATCAACCCTGACTGCTCTTTAGAAGGCCAGATCCCGAAGTTGAAACTCAAGGACTTTGGCCACCTAATGAGAAGGAAGGACTCCCTGGAGAAGAGCCTCATGCTGGGAAAGATGGAGGGCAAGAGAAGAAGGGGACGACGGAGAAGGAGGTGGCTGGATGGAGTCACTGAAGCAGGAGGCCTGAGCTTCAATGGACTCCAGAAGATGGTAGAGGACAGGAAAGCCTGGAGGAACATTGTCCGTGGGGTTGCGATGGGTCGGACATGACTTCACAACTAACAACAAGGCAACCTTGGCTCTTTTATGACTCGTGGACTTCAACTCCCAGAATTCCTGAGCCAGCCATGCTGAGGGAAAGGGAGAGGTTTCCATGCTGAGCCATGCTGGCTCAGGAATTCTGGGAGTTGAAGTCTGCGAGTCATGAAGGGCCCATAGTTTCCCCATGCTGGCTCAGGAATTCTGGGAGTTGAAGTCCACGCGTCATAAAAGAGCCAAGGCTTTAGATGGTCAATGAACCCTCATGTCTCTGGCTTCTTAAGATGTTTCTGCTTAAAAACGTTCTAGGCACCCTGAAGGTGCTGGAAGTTGTTGCACGAGAAGCGATGCCTCCTGACTCGGGGTGTGGGGAGGGTCCCCTCAATTTTAAGTCCCCAAGTCCTTGACCTTTTCCTTCCTCTCTTCCAGCCCTCTTCAACCTCATTCCAGTGGGCCTACGTGTGGTGGCCATCCAAGGGGTGAAGGCCGGCCTCTACGTGGCCATGAACGGCGAGGGGTACCTCTACAGCTCTGTAAGTGGCTTTGGGGGGGGCTTCTCCTTTTGACTTGGGGGGGCAGTCTGGAGGGATTACAGGAAGGGGGGGCTGCATCTGGGGAGATTTGCGTGGACGGCGGACACCTCTGTAGATTTGCAAACCTGCTTTCAGGAGTGAGAAGTAGGCTAACAATATTCGAGGCACTAACCAATGTTGGCTTCCTACAAATGACTCAAGCATCTGCACAGGTGGTCCTCGACTTATGACTGTTCATTTAGTGACCATTCAAAGTTACAACAGCACTGAAAAAAGTGGTTTTTACGACCGGTTTTCCACACTTACGACTGTAGTAGCGCCCCTGATCAATATTCGGGCGCTTGGCAACTGGCATGGACTCACGACTGTTGCGCTGCCCTGGGGTCACGTGATCCCCATTTGTGGGCTTCCCAGCCGGCTTCCCGCAAGCAAAGTCAAAGGGTGGGGGGGAAGCTGGATTCAATTAACGGCCCTGTGATTCGCTTAACAACTGCAGTGATTTTACTTAATAACTGTGGCAAAAAAGGTCGTAAAATTGGGCAAAGTTCACTTAACAACACCCTTGCTTAGCAGTGGAAATTGGGGGTCAATTGTGGTCGTAGGTCGAGGACTACCTGTACCCCCAGCTGTCCCTGGGCAGGAAGAGCTGTGAAAGGAAATTTGGACCAGCTCAAGTGGTTTTAAAATACGTTTATCTTTCTCTTTGTTTTTAAGCTTGCTTAGCATAAACCATCAAGGATGGTGTTGGTTTAGTTGGGATAACCTGTTGACTATTTATTTATATATATATATAATTGAATGAATGAAAGATAGATAGATAGATAGATATATAAATAGGTAGATAGATAGATAGAGAGAGAGAGAGAGAGAGAGAGAGAGAGAGAGAGAGAGACGGACGGACGGACAGATAGATAATAGAAAATTGAATGAATGATAGATAATGATAGAAAATTGAATGAAAGATAGATAAATAGAAAAATGAATGAATGAAAGATAGATAATGATAGAAAGTTGAATGAAAGATAGATAGATAGACAGACAGACAGAGAGATGGATGGATGGATGGATAGATAGATAGACGGATAGATAGATTGAGTTCCACATATGGAATATTTGTTTTTATATAGCATTTTTGATAAATACGGATGGGAAAGCTTATAACTATTTGTAGACCCGTCATGTAAGGGGAGCAGAACCTATTTGGTTATTTTTTTTAAAACGTATTTTTCAGCAGTTCGGATGGATTCTTTATGTTTAATGTTAGATTTATTGGACATTTGTGTTTTTTTTTTTGTACAAAAGACTTTATTTTCTTTTTGTTGATAGTGTTGGATGTTCGTTTTTCTGTTTTGTATTTTATTTTTATTGATAAAAAATGTGTTGTTCTTCTTTTTAAAAAGGATGGTGCTGGTGTCCAAGTATGAGTTCTTTTCTCTTATAGTGGTGACCCAGATGTGCTTTCTGGAGCTTAGCATTCAGCTGGCCCCACACAGGGGATGCTCTAGGTCAGGGGTCTTCAAACTTGGTCCTTTTATGACTTGTGGACTTCAACTCCCAGAATTCCCCAGCCAGGCATGCTGGCTGAGGAATTCTGGGAGTTGAAGTCCACAAGTGATGAAGGGGCCATAGTTCCCCCATGCTGGCTCAGGAATTCTGGGAGTCGAAGTCCAGGAGTCATGAAGGGGCCATAGTTCCCCCATGCTGGCTGAGGAATTCTGGGAGTTGAAGTCCACAAGTCATGAAGGGGCCAAGTTTGAAGACCCCTGATCTAGGATATATGGAGGCTTGTCTACTATCTGAGTTAAGTGAAGGCTTGTTGGGAGAACATCAAAACTGACTGTTATCCTGAGTTGATAGTTCTGTGAAGCTGGATGCCTGGGCAGCTCGGTTGGTGTTACCAGATGTCTTTAGAAAGGCCGATTGGGAGACTGAGATTCTGAGCAAAATGGCTGTTGGTAGCATACACACCGGTGTGAACATAAGATATCCTTTATTGTCACTTTTTCTCTGTGAACACACTGGCACACATTAAAAAATAATATTCTGATGCCCGCTCTCAAACAAATCTCTGTCTGTCTGTCTGTCTATCTATATATCTATATATCTATATATCTATATATCTATATATCTATATATCTATATATCTATATATCTATATCTATCTATCTATATACACACACACATACACACATATGAGGATGAGGAGGAGGGCAAAAGGGCCCCAGGGAATGAAGGATAGCAACCGGACTGGTAGTGAGGATGATGGACAAAAGGAGGGGGATAGGGAGCAGGGGACAGTGGAGTTGGCAATACATCGTAGAAAAGATGGTGGAAAGGGAGAGGAATTGGAGGACATAGGGAGTAGGTATAAACAAAAAGGGGGGGGCAGGGTGCACCGGACCCAAGGCCACAGACAGAAGCAATTAGTAGCATCACGCACGCAGGCAGGGGAGGCAGGAGAAAGTTAACTACCGGTGTGAAGACTGTAATTAAGGCACAGCCCAATCGCCTGGGACCGGTGACGAGGTCCAGGAGCCGGGCGCAGATGATGGATGGCTTATAAAAGAGACTCTCTCATGGACTGGCACGTAACCCTGACAAAGTCGGAAGGAGTCCGACGAAAGCTTGGTGTAGTTTTGTTTTATGTTTTGTGTTATTAAACTTTTTGATAGTTTGATATACTCCTGGTGTTCACGGTTTGTTTTTGGGAAGATGATTACACCCAGGAGTCACTGTTTTAGTTTTAATGTTATTAGAAACACATATATGTATAGACATACCCATATATGCACACACATATACCTATGCTTTATATTTATGTATACATACACACAGACATATGTATACATATATTTACAAAAAAGGTTACAAAACCTTTTTTGTAATACAAAATTGCAAAAAAAGATGCTGAGACTTTGGAAAAAGTGCAAAGAAGAGCAACTAAGATGATTAAGGACTTGGAGACTTATGAAGAAGGGTTGCAGGAATTGGGGGTGTCCAGTCTAGAGAAAAGAAGGACTAGGGGGGACATGATAGCAGTCTTCCAGTATTTGAGGGGCTGCCACAAAGAAGAGGGGGGGGTTCCATCTATTCCCCAAAGCACCTGAAGGCAGAACAAGAAGCAACGGATGGAAATTAAATCAAGGAGAGAAGCAACCTGGATTTATGGAGAAACTTCCTCACTGTAAGAAGAATTAACCAGTGGAACAACCTGCCTCCAGAAGTTGTGGGTGCTCCATCACTGGAAGTTTTTAAGAAGAGATTGGACAGCCATTTGTCTGAAATGGTATAGGGTTTCCTGCCTGAACAGGGGTTGGACTAGAAGACCTCCAAGGGTCCCTCCCAGCTCTATCCTGATTGAAGTCTCCATTGGGACAGAGGAGATTCAGGTTGTAAAGGAGCGGATAGGCTGCAAAGCAGAAATTACAGCTCTGGGTTGCACTTCAAAGCGAAGGAAGATTATGCAGAAGTTGCTTTTATGAGGGCGGGTGTTTTCCCCCCCCCAGAAATAATGGCGAGTTTGTTCCTGTGTGTGTGTGTGTGCGTGCGCACTTGTGCATTCATCTCTCTTAAATAGCCCGCTGGTCCCAGTGGAGAGCTTGCATCTCCCCCCTTCGCTTATCCTCCTTTTATTCTGCTGCATCGCTTTGCGTGAAAATAAACAGCATCCGAGAGAGGGAAGGGCTGGGCAGTGGGTTGACCAGGCTATAATTACTAAAATTCTAGATTGTGCAGAAATGGATAGGTTAACATTGGAGATGAAAGAGAAAGATGATTCAGTTTATTTTAAAACTTGGGATAAATATTTTTATCAATGGTTAGAGACGCGTTAGAATCTGAAAAGAAATCTAATATTATAGAATAGATCAGGGGTAGTCAACCTTGGCTCTTTGATGACTCGTGGATTTCAACTCCCAGAATTCCTGAGCCAGCTTAGCTGGCTCAGGAATTCTGGGAGTTGAAGTCCACGAGTCATCAAAGAGCCAAGGTTGACTACCCCTGGAATAGATGATGGATGTTTAATTGAGTTATAGGTCGTAGGTTGACAACGTCTTTATTTTTAGTGATTTTCAACCGTTAATATCGACGGTTATGATTAGCTGAGATTTTATTAATTACGTTTATTTACACAGATGAATTTTATCTGTTTATCCGTCATTAGTAACATGGCTATAGTGAATCTTATTTTAAAATGGCTGAGTAGGATATAAATTACCTTTATTTACTATTACGATCCGGACGGTAGCTTGTTTGTTAAAAGCGTGAGATTATTGTACCTTACCCTTTTTCCATCCCAATTTCCCAGCCCCTTCCCTCCCCTTACCTGTATTGTTCCTATTCTTTCCTCGTTTATATAAATCCAATAAAATATTTTTTTTTAAAAAAAAGGGGGGGGAGGAGGAGAGAGGAGACCGCTGTAGCCCAGCCAAAAGTTTTCCCATCTCCCTGGTGGTTGTCAGAACAATTTCAGACCCGCTTTGCCAAGGATGGTGCATTTTCACCCCTGTCAAGGCTGGTTTTTATTTCTTAGATTGTCCTCCCTGTCAGGCAATTTCTCCTTCGTTCTGGGCTGTTTCTCTCCTTGATTAGTTTCCCTCCGTCGCTGTTAGAGAGGCGGGCTGGCAAGGGAAGAAGGCAACGGTCAGGTGCCAGGAAAAAAAAAATAAAATCCTGGATGGCTTCCCCGAGATTTTGGCAGGAGAGATCTCCACCGCTCCCCTTGGAAAGCAACTTGTCAAGCAAGGAAAGAGATTCCTGTCTGGGCAGTCGCAAATTCACAGCCTCGCCTCCCTTCCCACTGCAGGTTCTTTCACACTCTTCTTACAGGATCCTGTTTTTTTTCTCGCCAGGCAGGTGGATGCCTATCCCTGGACTAGGCTGTGTTGTTTCCCCTGTGTCATATAATATAGGTGGGTCTACGCATAATTCTGTGTGTGTTTGTTTTTGTCATATTGATGTAGTGTCTATCGGAGATAGTGACCCTTTGAGAGCTGCATGCA